TTTTTCCCCCCCCCCCCCTCGGGAGACATTTGGTAATATCTGGAGGCATTTTTGAGTGTCACAAATGGTGGGAGAGTAGGTACTAGCATGGAGTGGGTAGAGGGCAGAGATGCTGCTAAACATTCTACAGTGCACAGGATAGACCCTGCAAAAAAAAAAAAAAAACTTATCCAGCCTTAAATGTCCATATTGCAGGATTGAGAATCTCTGCTCTGTGTCAAGCCTCTTTCTATTATAGTTTCGCTGATTTCTTCCCTTGAAGTTCTTTCTTCGTTTTATGCTGTAAAATGCTTTTGGTGTCTATGTCAATGAGTATAAATAAGTTTCCAGTGGAAGTAATTTAAAATTAGGTATGTGTATAATCAGAAAACCACAGTGTATTTAAACTGTGGACCACAATGTGGTATTTTTTCCTCCTTTTTATTTAACTCTGTACTTTTACCTTGGAAAACGCTGCAACACTTAATAAATATTGAGTAAGTTTTTTACTTAATCTTTTTTTCTACTTCCAAGGAAAAAAAGGGAATTTTTTGTTTTGTTGGGATCCCAACTGATAACTAGATCCTTTCCTTAGAAATTCTGATTCAACAGAGCTAGAGCAAGTCCCCCAAGTCTGTTTTTAATATGCACCTCAGGTGATTCTTACAATGAGACCAGTTTGGTGAGAGACATTTACAGAAGTCAAGGAACAGAGTAAAGATGAACATTCTTAATATGTTTTTATCATTTTTAATAAGTTTTACTATTTACCTCAATTGGTGGTTGATTTTTTAAAATATTGTAAATGTTGTTTTTATTCTATGACATCCAGAAAACTAATTGACTTGCTAATATGCTGCCTTTTGTCTTTTTTTTTTTAAAGCTGTTTGGTGTGTTTTGGGCTGCCTACAGTGCTGCTTCATTGTTAGTGAGTGAAGAATTCAAGACCAAAAAGCCTCTCCTGATTTATCCAATCTTTTTATTATACATTTATTTTTTGTCCTTATATACTGGGGTGTGATCCAAGTCACACATGAGTAGAAAAGGATGGTGTCACATTTGTGTGTAGCCTGGGAATTCTTGCTGAAGGGATTGGAGAAAACCTGTTGCTGGTAAAATTATACTTGTTCCAGATGTAAAGGCAGGTTTAAGGTCTTTTCAAAACGATGTTTTTGTATTTAATTAAAGAATTGCAGTTATCTGGGATTTTTTGGTCAGAATTCTAAATTCTGTTTGATTCTTCATATTCCAGTGAATAAAATATAAAAGTGTTGTTTTTTTAAGATTGTGTCAATATTCACCTAAAACCTTGTGCCAAAAACACCTGCATTGGTAATTATATTTCATGTGAAGGGTAAATTGGACAACTCCTGATAATCTAAAAGTGCAATTTTTTTTTTCTTTAAATAGTTTTCTCCTGAGTCACAGATTCTGTAGATATATATTTATATTTAATACGTATATATTTATTAAATAATTCTTATTATCCACAAAATATATTTCCAAATAGTGTAAAATTAAGATATTAAATCTGATGCTTAAACTTTAATTAGGCCATTAATCTTTTTTATTTAAAATTTTTAATTTTTTAAGAATTGTATATAATTTAAAAAATCTCATACATGCTTCAGTACTTCCATGTTAAAAATTCTTAATAATAACTGCTAAAACTAATTTTCATAGTTGCTGGTTTAGATTTGGTTTGGTTGGGTGTGATTTTTAAAACCATTTTTGAATGTCCAAACATCTGATTTAAAGTTTCTGTTAATCTGTCTGACCAAAGGAACAAGAGGTATAATGATAAGGCACTTATTAAAATCATTAATATGTAGAAAAACAGTAATATTTAGAGCATCAGTAAATATTTTTAAGTGTTACTCCTAAATCAGAAAAGTTGTGGGAAAGAGACCTTTAAAATCTTGTAGTCCTGAGCAATGTTATATAAAGTAGAAGGAAATAAAATGCTTCCCAGCTGTGTGTTTTGTTTTATAACACTTTGTCCTGTATTACTTGATATTTTAATGAGTCTCTGGTACTCTCTAACAAATGTACAATATTTGCTAAGAGAAATTTGTATTAGTGAATTTTTTGTTACTAATAATTTCATAGGTTCTGTAATTGGTATTACTTTGTAAAATAGATAAAATATTTTATTTATGTCCATAAAATAACAAATACCTATTAACTATTTGCAAATTATTGTATTATCATTTCTGCTCTCACCTGGAAGAGTTAACTGCTGTGCTCAATATGATAACATGGCCATCTCTTGATATGTATTCCTTTAGCAAACTTATCAGGAAATATCTAGCACCTCTGAAGCAAAGCCTACAAATTAGCAAGGTATCAAGCCCATCTCTCTTCCTTTCTCCTGATCACCAGAAAAGAAAGAAAAACTTATTTTAAGCTGCAGAAAAGTATGGAACACCTTGGATCTAGAATAATGTGGAAAATTATGCTGATTTTTTAAAACGGGCTTACGAAAACAGATTAGAAGCAGCAGAGGGATAGAACTTCTAAGACATTAATTAATATGAGGTAGTAGGGAAGAATCTATGGCTACAGAAGCAGCAACTCTAAAATAAACATTAGTCACACTTCAGAAATTCCTGAGGTCAATACTTTGTTACAGTGGATTACTATATTAGATGTTCATAGTGTTGACCCTGGAGAATCTTCCATAAAAACTTTGGGGGTCAGGACCAGAGGGTAGAATTTTACTAAACAATAAATCAAGGCATTTTAAGACCACCTCTCTCAAAAAATGGTTTGATTTTGTTTTAGCTATCAGTGCATTAAGGAATGAGTGTAAAGTTTACCTGTATGGATCATATTTATTCCTAATGTTATAAAATGAGGTATTTGTGTCCTAAAAGAGGTACTTAAATAATAGCATTTAATCTTGGGAACTATCTTGTTTAGGGTATATATAAATATAGGTTATAATGTTTCAAACTCAGTATCATCTTCATGTGCTAATGAGCAAAGGAGTTAAAACCAATTGTCAGTTTAAAACATCATTTGTACATGTGTACAAAATGCAATACTTCTACACCTGTAATGGTAAGTTAACCATAACAGTGTCCTCTTCTTGAATTTTTATATAATATTTTCTAAGTCATATTGGGTTTAAGTCATGATTTCCAACCTAATTATTAGTTCATTAGTATTTTAAAAACATAACTAGGCAGTTATCTATATATCCTTTGTCTCTTCTAGTTCTGTGTGTGTGTGTTTTAAGTGTTAGCAGTTGTAACACTCCTGAATAGTAATCCTCAAAAAAAGAATTATGAGACATTTTTACTTCTTTTTCAAATTGATTATAAAATAATTGAAATTTTGATTAAAAAACAAAGTCTCTATATAATTAAACATTATGTTAAAAAGTAGTTTAGGAAGATTTGTAAATTTTTATGAACCATTGTAAAACCTGCTTATTTCTAAAGTCAGTTTTATATATACTAATGTGTTCATTTTCAAAATTTCCCCAAATATTAATATTAATATTAATATAGATTCTAAATTAGTGAAAATTTGCATTGACTTATATGAACTAGATATTTTTGTTTGAACATTGCTTAAAATTTAGTCATTTATTTTTTTAAATTTCAATGTAACAAAACATTGGATATAATAATGCTTCTACAACCTAATAAAAAAACAGAATGTTTTTCATATTCAAGAAAACTAATTGAATATTTTTAAATGTTTGTAATTTATTTTTTTACCTTTTCTTTCTTTTTTGGTGGCTGGCCAGTACAGAGATCCACACCCTTCACCTTGGTGTTATGTTTTTTACATTTTTATTAGTGTGTATGTTAGCCAGTTTTTAGGCATTGCGGAATTGTGACACTTGTTTTTAAGATAATGTCTTACTTCAATACAGTTGTTTTAGATAGTGTGGCATGGCAGTCTGAAAGAAATCTTTGTAGAGCTAAAAATCACCCTCAGCAATTCTCTGCACTATTTTTCAGTTATGTAAACAAAGTAATATTGTTTTATTATCCTCCTTCATAAATGATTTCTTTAATTGACCACTTGAGCCTTATACTACTTTTTAATTTCTCTTTAAAACCTGACTTACAAGTGTTCTATCCTCATTTATGTAATTTCCTAGCAGCATTTTGTGTGTTTGAGAATTTATTGGCTAGACATGCTTATATATCTTTGTACTTCAAATCATGATATGTTCTGAAGAAATTTCTATTTGTAAGGATATTTTCTTTATAACAAACTGGTGTAAAATTTAGACCGTACCATGTCTTTATGGGGTGTAGTGGTATGAAAAGAAATGGTTAAGAGAACATTCCCTATACAAGACATTTTATTTAATAAGAAACTTAGGGTTAGATTTCTCTTTTGAAATTCTTTTGATATGCTGAGGTTGCAATTAGGAGGTTAATGTATAGAAAGAATGTAGGGAGGATTAAGACATCAGTAATAAAATAATTTGCTACTTCATATTTTATATTGGTAAGTCAGATTTCAAGTTTTCCATTTTCAGCAAGATATCTACAAGTTTTTATTTTGAAGATAATTTAGTTTATTGTTTGCAAGTGCTTGTAAAAAATTCCTTAAACATCCCTTCCTCAGAGTTTAGAGGTATACTAATGTTACCACTGAGATTATTTTAAGATAGATATTAATATGAAAAAATAGAATATTTTTAGAAAATATTGTGAATTTAATTTATAATTAGTGTGTATAAAGGTTGTTAATACAGAAAAAAGTAAGCATTTCTACCTATAATAATTTCGTTAAATTAGCACTTATAAGTAAATTAGGCTTATCAAGAATAAAAACCTTGAGGGATGGCCCGTGGCTCACTTTGGAGAGTGTGGTGCTGATGACACCAAGGCCATGGGTTCGGATCCCTATATAGGGATGGCCAGTTGCTCACTTGGGAGAGTGTGGTGCTGACAACACCAAGTCAAGGGTTAAGATCCCCTTACTAGTCATCTTTAAAAAAAGAAAGAAAGAAAGAAAAACCTTGGTTTTTTATAGTAGTTGCCACTGAGCAATTTTTATTAAAAACTAAACAAGCAAAAAAACCCAAAAAGCTCACCAAAGTACTTACACAATAGCAAGTGACGTTACACCAAGTGGCTGATTATCAGGAGAAATTTATCATCTGATGATAAAGAGAAAAAGATATAAAAGTGGATTGCTGCTATTCACAGAATAAGTACTTGTTGAAGAATAAATGATTGAAATTCTACATTTTTGCTCTATTTTATAATGATCCTACTTGCTTTTGTGGAATTAATCAGTTGTCTATGTAAAGTATCTCTAAAGTAGTAAGCATGATTTGATAATGAGACAACCCATATGTTTTAGAAAGAAAGAAAGAAAAACCTTGTTTTTTTATAGTAGTTGCCACTGAGCAATTTTTATTAAAAACTAAACAAGCAAAAAAACCCAAAAAGCTCACCAAAGTACTTACACAATAGCAAGTGACGTTACACCAAGTGGCTGATTATCAGGAGAAATTTATCATCTGATGATAAAGAGAAAAAGATATAAAAGTGGATTGCTGCTATTCACAGAATAAGTACTTGTTGAAGAATAAATGATTGAAATTCTACATTTTTGCTCTATTTTATAATGATCCTACTTGCTTTTGTGGAATTAATCAGTTGTCTATGTAAAGTATCTCTAAAGTAGTAAGCATGATTTGATAATGAGACAACCCATATGTTTTATAACACTTACGCAGAATCACATGCTCTGATAATTATAGTCTCTCCATGGAAAACAGTAAAAATACTCTTGTTTATGATGATGGAACTAGGTGCTAAATCCCTCGTATCCAGCCTTCTTTGCCAAATGGGATTTAGCAAAATCTTTTACCTAATACAAATTTATTTTCAAAGTTTGGTACTAGTGGTGGCCTAAAGAATGAAACATTGAGAAGAAACAGCATTTGAATTTAGAACCCTGACTGTGAAGGGACAATGGATATTCATCAAATATTTATTGACCCCTTACTGTGCCAGATACTGTGTTGGGTGCAAGGATAAGATGATACAAAAAAAAGACCACACACGCACACAGACCCTTACCTTAATGAGCTTATATGGCTGGAGAGACAACGGGTTAATTTCACAAACAGATTGTAAAACCATTTTAGCAAATGAGGAGAAAAAGAAGTCTGTGGTGGTAAGAGAACTTATAGTGGAGGAATGAGAGAAGAGGAGCCTGATTGTAAAACCATTTTAGCAAATGAGAAAAAGAAGTCTGTGGTGGTAAGAGAACTTATAGTGGAGGGGGGGGGGGGGGTGGTAAGAGAACTTATAGTGGAGGAATGAGAGAAGAGGAGCCTTCCCTGAGGCAATGGTGCCTAATCTGAAATTTTAGGGATAAATGAAAGTTAACAAGGCAAAGAGGGTAGGGAAGACTTCCAGATAAAGGGAAGAGTAGGTGAGTAGAAGGCATTGAAAGCCAGTTTGGCTGAAGTTTAGTAGTTAATGAAATTGAACAGGTAAGTCGGTGCCATACGTGACATTTTTAGCCATACTTTCTTTGCCAAAACTTTTGTTAAGAAATATGGTATCAGAAACATGTGCTTTTAATATTGAAGACAGAAATAAACAATTATATTCTTGGTATATGCCTAAACGAAATGAAGAGATGTGTACAAGAATGTACATAGAGACATTCATAAAAGCCAAAAATGAGAAATATTCTAAACACAGAATGGATAAATTGGTATAATTGTACAATGGAATCTTATGCAATGAAAATGGATGAACAAAAGCCATGTGCAAGAACATACTGTAGAATTTCATAAGCATTATGTTAAAAGAAACAGACACCAAAGAATTTGTACTGTATTCATTTATGTGACGTTCAAACACGGGCAAAATTAAACTATAATGTTTAGGGATGCATACTGAGGTACAAAGTCTTTTAAACAGCTTTACTGAGGTATAATTTACATACCATAAAATTCGTTCATTGTCAGTGTACAACTTGATGATTCAGTTTGATTTTTAGTAAATTTGTACAGTTGTACAACTCATCACAATCAGTTGGCAAAGTCATTTTTATACAAAGCAAAAAAGTGACCACTATAGAAGTCAGGTTAGTCATTACACCTTAATAGGAAGGAAGACGAGTTGTGTTTGGAAAGAGGAATGAGGAAGACTTCTTTGACGGGTGTTTGGTTTTTAATAGTTTATTAAG